GATAGAGTCCTAAGTATGCTTCCACCTTGGCATATGTATGAGCGGGGATGTGAGTATTTCATCTTTACACTTGGAGTTGAGCTGGTATACACCACTGTCAAAAATTTGAAGGTATTTTTCATTAGTTTGTCTATGTTTGATTGCTATAATGTCTCGAATAGTGCAAAAATGATCCTAATAAATTTGGTAAAGAGAATAAGAAAATAATTTTCTTATTGGCATCCTCTTCTACTTGGGATGAGAATGTGGTTGTGGTCCAATGCATGAGTATCATTATTACTTTTTCAGATCTTAACCACAGAGTTTGATGCCTTGCCATTTTGTTTTCTTGTTGTAGGATGACTTGCGACAATATCAACCTCAGTACTTCATTTCTGTACCTTTAGTATATGAAACACTCTACAGGTACTTCCTTCTCTTGGGAATTCTACTTAATAATTAAAAGGAAAAAAAAGAAAAGAAAAGAAGTTGATACCATTTGGTTGTTTAACTGTTATATGCGTTTTTCTGTCTTATAGCATGACTTAACAATAAGTCTCTGGTAAACGTTATATCAGAGCATCATATAGACATATACTCATATGGCCTTCTATTTTGTATAACATGACATTAAGAATGCAAGAACTCTCTATGTTTTATATGGCAATACAAGTACAATGTTTAATACTCGTTTGTTTGAGTGCCACAAAATGCCTTGAACTTTATGAAGAAAGAAGAAAAAGAAAAAAAAAAAAAAAACTGTCTTGATTCAGAATAAAGCAAAAGTTTTTGGTTTTGGTTTTTTCTTTATGTTCTTATTAAGTGTTAATTTTTTTCATTTTAGTATAATTTGAGTGGAAGATTTAGTTGTCTCGTTCACAACTACAATGGAGCCTAGTGAGAATTTGTTTACTTAATAATTACATATGGAAGAAGGTTCTAACTAGTCAACTTGCATTTTTATTGTGTATATATAGGTCACAATTTCCTTTCATTTTTCCTGTCTGGGAGCAGATATGCATATCTAGGGTGTAACACTTGTGCAATAATCTTGAGTCACCTGTGCAACTTGCCATTAGTACCACAACACCACAAAAAATATTTGCCAATAAGTGCAGCCCCTGATTTCAATTCTCTTTGCAGTGGGATTCAAAAGCAGATTTCAACTGGCTCCACTGTTCGTAAGATTATAGCACTTACACTCATAAGGGTCAGCTTGGCTTATGTGGAGTTGAAGAGAATATATGAGGTTGAGTGTGACTATTTATATTGAAATCCTGAGCCATTTGTAATTTCTAACCCGCTAAAAACGATATTTTATCAGGTTCCACGTCTATGATTTATGTTATTTTAATTTGAGTGCCATATTTTTTATTTCTTTTTGGTAATAAAAGAGAAATGAGCTCGAAATGCTGTTTGTCCTCACCAATGACTGTTACCATTTGCTATTTGAGCATGTTTGCAATAGTGTCTTCTGGTGGGATTTGCAAAATAGTCTATATTTGATTAAGTTTAAATGAGTATTATTATTATTTTTTTGGTTAGTATAAGGTTATTTTTCTGTCATTCAATGGAATGAACCATATTGACAAACATGAGCATCAGTAGGGTCAGTCCAGTTTCATAATGGAACTTAGACTTTCTTGTAAGAGTCGTCTCAGTCTTGAAACCTCTCTGGAAGGTGGATTTTGACTGGTCATCACTTCATCCTACCATTTGTGTACTCCTAATTTGACAGGGAATTATCTGGACTGACGAATTGATGTTCCAAAGTTGTAGTTCTAACACTGAGTGAGTGTGAATGGATATCTGCTTATCTTACTCTAAAAGTTGCTAAATTTTAAATGCTGCCTAATTTAACTACTTACACAGCCAATTTATTCCTAGTATTTTGTTTTGATTCACAGGGACTTTGTCTAACAAGGAATCAGAAGCAACCTTCATATCTTGTCTCAATGTTAGACTGGTTGTGGGCAAGACTTACTGCTGCAATCTTATGGCCAATTCATGTGTTGGCAAAGAAGCTTGTCTATAAAAAAATTCAATCTGCTATTGGAATATCCAAGGTTCTATTCCTTGGTTGCAAATACTCATTATTACTGCTCAATTTTTGTGAATACTCTATAACTAGCTTCTAGCTTTATGGCCTCTTTATCTTTACAAAAAGTGTGTTCAACTTTTTCAAGGAGACCTGTATTCAGTTTCACCAATTATGTAATGTAATCTCTTCTAAGTTGTTTTAGATAAGATATCATATGATAAAATAAAGTTAAACATAGTGGGACACATACCCCCACTCCCAAAACCCCAAGAAGAAAAAGAACTAATACATGCTCTTAGTTGTCCTGTCATTAGATAATTTGCAGTTCTGCGCTAGGGCTTTTGTTGATATATATCATTAATCATCGTGCAGCTTGGCATAACTGGAGGTGGTAGTTTGGCTTTGCATATTGACAAATTTTTTGAGGTTAGATGCTAATGCATACTTTTCATGCTAGAGAAGAGATAAGTAGCTGTTTTCTCTTACACTACTGGCTAATTCATGCAGGTTATAGGGGTGAATATCCTGAATGCATATGGTTTAACAGAAACATCTCCTGCTGTTGCAGTTCGGCGACTGAACTGTAATGTAAGAAACATCTATTTTATATTACAAAGTATTTACTTGAAATGTTGCACAGGATAGCATTTGAGCAGTTTAAGGAGGATAAATAAAGAAATCATCCAGACTGCAGTTGATAGCATTTCAACAGAATTGTATAGCATATATAAAGTGGGACTTCTATTATATTTGAATTGAAATTAAGGATATGTATTCTTCCTTGATTCAAATGACTGCTTAGAATTCATTTACATCTATTTTTACAAGAATTTTGATAAATCATGTAACAGTCTCTTAGATTTAACTTTTGAAGGTTCTTGGTTCAGTTGGCCATCCAATTAAACACACAGAAATCAAAATTGTAGATTCTGAGACAGATGAAGTTCTCCCACCTGGATCCAAGGGTGTTGTAAAAGTCAGAGGGCCTCAGGTGATGAAAGGTTACTATAAGGTAATATTCTGTCATTGAGTTAAACTGAGAAATGTCAAATTGAAGAAGCTAACCAATGAAAACATATTGTTTCTGTCAAGTGTTTGTAATTTCTCAATGTTTTCTAGAATCTTCATAATGTACCTGATTTTGTTTTAACTTTGTGGTTTCTTCTTCATTAGATACAATCAAGAAATCATCGGTTGGATTAAAATTGTTTCTCTGAACTGTTGTACTTGAGCCACCTGCATATGATTCATTTTGGTTATTATTTGTTGGGATTAGAATCCATGGGCTACAAAGCAAGTCCTAGATGAGGATGGTTGGTTAAACACTGGTGATTTAGGTTGGATTGTACCTCACCATTCAAGAGGGCGGAGTCGTCGATGTGGTGGTGTGCTTGTTCTTGAAGGACGTTCGAAGGACACTATTGTTCTTTCAACTGGTATACTAAAAGCCTAACTTCACTTTTCCCTCCTGCTGCTTTAAAAGTTTTCATCTTCTAGGTCCCTTATGCATCTCATTTGTCACATGGTATGCTTTACTATAAATCTGTTGATTTCTTTTTCTCACAAAGAAATGGAGAGAAAATCAGGAGGAAGATGAAGAGCAGAACATAAACTAAAATGGAGAGGAGTATAATGCTCCAACTCAGATTTCTCATTAACAAACTCTGCTTTATATGGTAGAAAACAATCTAAAAAGAATTCAGAAAGTTTCTTATTTTGTCTAAGCAACTTTTCTACCCTAAAAAGCAACAATAAAAGTACATCTAAAACAAGTGAAAGACAACCACTTTTGCTGCATGCTTGCTGTGATTTTGCAGTCCTTCATTTCATTTGCATTTGCATTTGCATTTGCATTTCATTTGCTGTTCATTGTAGCTTCATCTCATCAACATTTGCAGCTTAGCTTGCTGTACATTTTTGCTGTCATTTGACAGCTTCCTTTCTATCATATTTGCAGCTAAATTGCTGCCATATTTGCTGTCAATTTTCAGCTTCATTACTGCCATTTCATGGCAGTTTCATTTCATCATTTTGCAGGTTCGAATGCCACATTTCTAATAATAATTCCAACAAATTCAACAGATTGTTTCTCTTTTGGTCTTAGATGGTACCTTGTCCAAATTTTGTTTCGTGTAATGAACTAACATAAGTGTCTTTGGAAAAAAAAAATAGGTGAAAATGTAGAACCCTTAGAGCTTGAAGAGGCTGCCTTGAGAAGCAATTTAATTCAACAGATTGTTGTTATGGGCCAGGTAATTTATTGTTATATATTTCCCATTTCTGCACCTGCTAATTGTGTGGATTTTGCAGTTTCCCACTTTGCTGAATTAACATATTTTGGTTCTATCTGTTTTATGCAGGATCAACGACGCCCTGGAGCCATCATTTTTCCCAACAAAGAAGAGTTGCTCTTTGCAGCAAAAAGATTGTCCATTGTAGATTCAGATGCAGATGCCTCCGAGCTTAGCAAGCAAAAAGCAACTACCCTGTTATATGAAGAGTTGAAAAATTGGTACAACACTCCTTTCAGTATTTTTGTTTGTATAGGCAAAGTTAGGTGATGAAGAATCCATTTTCTAACATTAATTGTGGTTGATGCAGGACATCAGATTGCTCGTTTCAAATTGGACCAATCTTTATTGTGGATGAACCTTTTACGGTATAGATTTAGTTTTTCAGTGTGTCCTGAGCCAAACTTGGTAATATCTTCATTGGTGGTTATAACTTTAATCATACGGTTTTTGTTTGCAGATAGAAAGTGGGTTAATGACTCCAACAATGAAGATCAGAAGGGATAGAGTAGTAGCACTATACAAACAAGAAATAGCTAATCTTTACAAGTAATTGTAATTCCCTACCAAAATGTAATGTTATTTTTATGACATTAATAAAATTGTTTCCAACAGTTCTAGTAAAAATCAAAGCAAAAGATTAAATTACTCGATTAGGAAAAATAAGTGTTTATAAGTT